AAAAAAAAAAAAAAGAAACAATACCAAAAACAGTGAGAGTCTGTTTGATTTGAGCCAGGACCTGCCCCTATAACTTCTCTTCTCTTTTCCTGCCACCTTAGTTCAGTAGAAGCTTCACTCTGGGCAAATGTTCCCAAGAACCCTGGACACTTGATTCTCCAGCCACAAGTCTAAGGCAACAGTGTCCCCCAGGAGGTTGGCAACTCACATCTCCTCTGGCTCCGTGTCGCAGAAGCTCTGTTCCATGCAGGAATAGCTGAAAGGACTGCAACTTCCACTCCTTCTCTACGCATAGGGAAGCTCTACCCCAGACATGGCAGGCGGAGAATACCAGGTCCTGAATGCCCTACCCTAGCTCGCTCAGGCGAAGTAGAGCTCCACGCGAGAAGGGACAAGCTCAGAAGAGAGTGGGCTACTACCATCCCTACCCAGATCTCCACTCACAGAGTTAGGAGTCTTTCTAAGAGAATCTGATTGCCATTCCCACCCCCAGCTCCAGTACAGCTATACAGAGATTCAGCCCAGAGGGGGAAGCAGGCTTTGTTCACAAAGAGCTCTTCACCTTTCCCTACGAGGACTGATTTTTTTAGAACAGAGCCTGTGAAGTTCATACCTAATGGTGATATAGGAGACCATGGAAATCCTGATGGTGAGCAGTTAAGAGGAGGCTGGGAGCTCTGTGATACTGGTAATAACAAAACAGTGCATCAGCTAAAGGTTTAACAGGAAACGAAGGGAATATACAGCCAAGAAGAGTCTTCCGCGGTCAGGGCAAAATGTAGAGGCTAGCAATATCTTGACTCTGCAAAGGGGCCCGACATGATTCAAGTCCATCTGTGGAACGTTTTCTGCCCAAGAGTATTTAATTAAAAACAGTAAAGCAATCAGCCAGAAGTTAGTGGAAGCTAATGGCTGTGTGTGATACCCTTAGAGTCAGGTAACTTAATGAAGAGAGCTGGCAAAGTGACGGCCAAAGAGAACCCGACTAAAACCACAGTCATCCCTGGTGGTCGAGGAGACGGATTGCATGCTCAAGGCTGTGCCCTCTGAGGAGCACTTCTGAGGCTACATGCTGTGAGGGAAAAAGATTTTATTTGAACCAGTCTAGCCAGGTCACTAAACAAACAAGCAAACATTGACAACAAGCCCCAGGAAGAGGCGGGAATAATTATCCAGAAGTTACTACAATATAAAATGTCCATTTTGAACAACAATCACAAAAAAATACTTGGCATGCAAAAAACCAGGTATGTAATCCACAAAAAAGGGGAACAAAAAGCAGGCAACACAGACCACTTTTGAGAGCAACTGGATATTGGACTGGTCACACAAAACCTTCAAAGTAGCTATCGTAAACGTGCTCAAAGAACTAAAGGAAACCATTTTTAAGGAACAAAAGGAAGATATGATTACAGTGTCTCACAAACTAGAAAATATCAATTAAGAGCCAGAAATTAAGGAGAGCACTTGTTGTGATGTGTACTGGGTGTTGAATCACTATACTGCACAGCTGAAACTAATATTATACTGAATGTTAACTAACTGGAATTTAAATAAAAACTTTTTTAAAAAAAGATTAATATAAAGAGACAAGTTACAGAAAGGAAATGCAAATTCTGGAGTTGAAAAGCACAATGACTAAAATGAAAAATTCAGTAAAGAGACTCAGTAGTAGCTTTGAACTGAGAAGAAAGAATCCACGAACTTGAAGACAGATTGTTAAAGATTACGCAGTCTGAAAAACAGAGAAAAGAATGAAGAAAAATTTATAGAGCTTTCTGAAATCTGAGGCATCATGAAATGAGCCAATATATGCATAATGGGACCAGACGGATAGGAAAGATAAAAAAAAAAAAAAAAAAAAAAAAAAAAAAAAGCAGAAAAAAATCTTCAAAGAGATAATGATTGGAACTTCTCAACTTTAATGAAAATTATTAATCTATACATCCTAGCAGCTCAACAAGCTCCAATTAGGATAATCACATAGCAATCCACATTCAGACATATTCTTCTAGAAATGTTGGAAGACAAAGACAGAGAAAAATCACAAAAGCCACAAGAGAAAAACACTTCATCACATACAGTGGAACTCCAGCAATATTAACAGCTGACTTCTCATTAACAATATAGGTTAAAAGCAAAACAAAACAAAACAAAACAAAACCCCAGAACAATATAGGTCAGATAGCAATGGAATGACATATTCAAAGTGCTGAAAGAAAAAACTGTTAACCAAGAAACACATCAAAAGTGAAGGCAAATTTATATATATTCCTAGATAAACAAAAACTGTGTGAATTTCTTGGTAGCAAATCCATATAAAAAATGCTAAAGTACTTCAGGCTCAAGCAAGTGGCACCAGACAATAATTTGAATACACGTGTGTGCATGCACGCACACACACACACACACACACACACACACAAGTACCTATAAAGCTAATTGTGTAGGTAAATATAAGAAACCATATAATTGCATATATTTTCCTTCTTCTCATAACAGATTTAAAAAACAACGTATATAATGTAATGTCAAGTCCATAACACATGGATAGGTAATATATTTGACGGTAATGACATAAGTGAGGTGGGGGGTACCAAGGTTGTATTGGAGTAAGGAGTGACACAAGATGGCTGCTCAAATTGTAGAAAGAAATGAAAAGAAGCAGAAATGGTAAATACAATGGCTTATATAACCAAATCTATAAATATCTACTTTCTGTCCTATAAAAACACAAACTACTGAAACTGAGTCAAATAGAAAATCTGAGTAGACGTATGACAAGTAAATTCTTTGAATTAGTAATTTTAAGTTTCCCAAGGAAAAACCCAGACCTAAATGACTTCATGATGAATTTTACCAAATGTTTAAAGAGCAATTAACACCAATCCTTTCCCAGTGCATTCTTCAGGGCCATTATTACTCGGATATGAAAACCAGACAAAGATATCACAAGAAAAGAAAACTAAAAACTAATACATTGTTTTTCTGTATTCCTTATGCTATACTTTCCATTTCTATGACTTACTTTGTTGTTGTTTTTTTTATCTTTTTTTACATTTATTTATTTTTTGAGAGACATAGAGAGACAGAGCACAAGTTGGGGAGGGACAGAGAGAGAAGGAGACACAGAACAGAAGCAGGCTCCAGGCTCCGAGCTGTCAGCACAGAGCCTGATGCGGGGCTCGAACTCACAAACCGTGAGATCATGACCTGAGCCGAAGTTGGACGCTTAACCAACTGAGCCACCCAGACGCCCCATATGACTTATTTATTTTGTAACTGGAAGCTTATACTTCTTAGTCCCCTTTATGAATTTACCCATTTCTTCACTCCACCTCCCCTTTGGCAAGCACCTGTCTATTCTTTGTATTTAAGAGTCTGGCTTTTTTGTCTGTCTTTTTTTGTTTCTTAAATTCTACATATGAGTGAAATCATACGATACTTGTCTTTCTCTTTCTAAAGCACTTCACTTAGCATTATACCCTGCATACATTTTGTTGTAAATCTCGTTTTTTCTGTGTATGGCTGATCAGTATTCCATTGTGTGTACACACACACACACATACACACACCCCAGATGTTTGTTATCCATTCACCAATTGATGCACACTTAGGTTGATTCTGTAGTTTGACTATTGTGAATAATGCTGCAATAAACATATGGGTGCATTTATCTTTTTGAATTAGTGTTTTTATTTTCTTTGGGTAAATGCCCAGTAGTAGAGTTACTGGATCATATGGTAATTCTACTGTCCGTTTTTTGAGGAAACTCCATACCATTTTCCACAGTGGCTGCACCAATTTACATTTCTACCAACGGTTCACAAGGTTGGTTTTTTTTCCCTCCATGTCTTCACCAACACTCGGTATTTCTTGCCTTTTTTAGTCTAGCCATTCTCACAGGTGTAAGGTGATACCTCATTGTAGATTTGATTTGCATTTTCCTGATCAGGATTAGTGATGTTGAGCATCTTTTCATGTGTCTGTTGGCCATCTGTACATCTTCTTTGAAAAATATTCAGGTCCTCTGCCCATTTTTAATCAGGTTATTTGGGGGTTTTTAATTATTGAATTCTGTAAGTTCTATGTATATTTTGGATATTAACCCCTTATCAGATACATCATTTACAAATATCTTCTCCCATCCAGTAGGTTGCCTTTTTGTCTACTTAATGTCTTTTTTAATATAGATTGTGAAAATCCCTAACAGAATACTTAGGAAACCAAATCCAGCAACATCCAAAAAGGATTATACACCATGACCAAATGGAGTTTATCCCAGGAATGGAAGATTGGTTTAAATTTAGAAAAAAACTTGTGTAAAAAATCATAATGATAGAATGAAGGTTATAAACCACATGATCATTCAATAAATGTAGAAAAATCATTTGAAAAAAAATCCAAGGTCTTTCATTAGAAGAACACTCAAAAAAACTGAGGAGGGAACTTTCTCAACTTGATAAAGGTCATTGCTATGAATGGAATATTTGTGTCCCCCCAGAATTCCTATGTTGCCTCCTAATTCCCAGTGTGATGGTATTTTGAGGTAGAGCCTTTGGAAAACAATTAAGTCATGAGGGAGGGGCCTTCATGAATGGGAATAGTGCCCTTCCAAGAAGAGATATAAGAGAGCTTGCTTCTGCTCTCTGTCCTCCGCCATGTGAGGATAGGAGAAGACAGTCCATCTGCAAACCAGGAAGCAGGCTTTCATCAGATACCAAGTCTGCCAGCACCTGATCTTAGACTTTCTAACCTCTAGAACTATGAGATATAACTATGGGTTTTTTAAGCCATCCAGTCTACAATATATTTATATATTTATTGTAGTCTGTGCTATAAACTGACCAAGACAGCTATCTATGGGAAACCCACAGCTAGCATCCTATTTAATGGTGAAGGATTGGATACTTTCACCCAGAGATGCATAGGCTGGTATCTGTGCATGTAATTTATCACTTTAAAAAGTAATCTAGTTCTCTGTCACTAATTCACACTGATATTTATACATTAAACTGTACTGCCTATTGCATTATTCCCTCTTGACCTTTTGCAATAACTTTTTTAAAGTTAGGTTTTGCTTTTAAATAAATATGATAGTTTTATCTCTTAAGAGGAAAAGAGTAAGGCCTTGTCCCTTTAGGCCTCAAATGTATTGCCACAGTAACATGTGTAACATTCTCTCCTTTTATTTATTTTTTATTTATTTTTTTATTTTTGGGACAGAGAGAGACAGAGCATGAACGGGGGAGGGGCAGAGAGAGAGGGAGACACAGAATCGGAAACAGGCTCCAGGCTCTGAGCCATCAGCCCAGAGCCTGACGCGGGGCTCGAACTCACGGACCGCGAGATCGTGACCTGGCTGAAGTCGGATGCTTAACCGACTGCGCCACCCAGGCGCCCTCTCTCCTTTTAATTTCACATTTATTTTCATAAATAAAATAATTTAATTTCACATTAATTTCGTATTTATTTTCTGATTTAGGCTTGGTATATCAGGATTCTTTTTCTAAATCTGAAAGGGCTTCCTTTTTTTTTGGTAAGGAATTTTGATCAGTCCATTCACACTACGTTAATTGATAATTTGGTATTTTGTTCCCTCAATCTTATTTATGGCATAAATAAATGATTTAATTCTGTGTGGCTTATGCTTTTGTTTTGGATGCAAAGATTCTCCCTTCTTTTTTTTTTTTTTAAGTTCATTTATTTTTGAGAGAAGGAGAGAGAGAGAGAACACACCCACTGGAGCAGGGGAGGGGCAGAGAAAGAGAGAGAAAGAGAAAGAGAGAGAGAGGGAGAATCCCAAGCAGGCTCTGCGCTGACAGCACAGAGCCTGACACAGAGCTAGATCTCATGAACCGTGAGATCATGACCTGAGTCAAAATCAAGAGTCAGACACTTGACCAGATGAGCCACTCAGGTGCCCAAAGATTCTCCATTTAAAGATTATTTCAAGAGAATTCCAATTCTGAATTTCACATGCAGTATTCAATACATGTAGTGATTGGTGTTGATGTAAACCTATTAAGCACATTTTTTCCTTCTTTTTTATGTTCATGAAGACAAACTGAGTGGCAGCAATAATGCAAACAAAAGACAAAAAATTGCCCAAGACTTTCTCAACTCTATTGACCAAACAGGAGAACTCTTGGCAATGTTTGAAGATGATGAAGTCGATGAAGTTAAACAAGAAAGAATGGAGGTATAGTATATTCTTCCCTTTTTACAGTAATAGAATAGCCATTGCAGTGCTTATGCTATTTGGTTCTATTCTTCTGTTCTTTGATTGATGTCTGAATTGCCCAGAACAGTAGTTGCATGTCTGAAGGCAGCATTGTACAGCCTTCAGACATGACTTTGGGAGACAACTTCAGTGCTCTGTTTCTCTGTTTCCTCCTTTGAATAGGAGTCGATTTCCCTCAACTTCCTTCCAGGTCTTACTTTTCCTGTTACCATTTTATCTGAAACTTATTTTTTGTCCCAAGTCATCCAGTTCTCTTTGTGGGCAAAGGTAATTTCTCCCACTTTTGTGTTGGCATGTAGCTGAAGAACTGTTTTTCAGGACATATCTGCAGGCTATGAGTGCACTCATTAGCTGAGGTAATATTCAGGGCAGTTACATGCTTTACATCACTGTAACATGTGTTTGGATTCCCTGAATATGTTTTCACAATAAATATGAAAATTGTTTGCCTTCTATTTGTCTGAGCTATCTATTCATAAAATTACTGTTTCCTTAAATACTTACTTGAAAATAAAAATGACTGATTTCATTTGAGTGCCTTCCAAAATACAAAGCATTCTTCTTCTTATTATTAGACTTTTACCTGTTAAAAAAAAAAAATCTCCATTTTCCCCTTCTCTTTAAATGGGACAAGAGAGGTAATTCCAGAACTCCAAAAGATCGTGCTAAGTACCTACTTTATCATAATCTCTAGGCATGCTAAAAATATAATTATTTCATGTCAAATTTTGGAGGAAGTCCAATAGACATACGTGCTTTGTAAACTTTAACAGCCTTCTTTAAAGAATTAGTGTGCTTAGATCACGAACTGTGATCTAAAGGCAATGTTCTTTTTAGGTATCAATTACCTTAGAAATGTGTGGTTATCTTGGTTTGGGGCAACTGCAAATGATTTTAGTTCAACTTCACCGTGGGCCAAAATCATGCTAACTTGTCCAAAGCAGATGATAAACATATATTTCTGATGTCATTATGGCCCAAAAAGGATATGATTGTTTAGTAGCATGGTTTCACTTATGATGCATTACACAGAGAGCAAATGTTGTTTATGCTTTTCTAAAAAACATTTTTATATTACTCTAATGGGCATTAAGAAAGATTCATTAAGGAAAGACTCTACATAAAACATTAATAAAATAGAACACTTAGCTTTTCAGTTTTGATGGGAAAATCTCTGTCAACCAAGCCTACTGCCTGGAAGGACATTCCACAATCAAGGAGAAGAGAAGAAATGGAGCATGTTGTAACACTAAGCTCATAATAGCAGGCTACTGTAGGCCTGGAAAAATGATGAGTCAGTAAGGTATAAGTTAAAGTCAATAAAATATCTGGAAAGGCGGGGGAGGAAAAGCTTGGGAACTTACGCAGTTTCTCTTCCTCTTCCCTGCACTTATATATGAGGTAGTGGTAACCAGGATAATAAAATATCGATAGTTGGTAAAAATAGTTACAGTGACGTGTTAAAAGTCAGATTGGCAGTTTCTTTAAGCTTTATATCGTACCTAAAATCTTTTGTAACCAACATAATGGAGAGCAATTTTGAGATTCTGCTCATCCAAGTAGCAGAGTTTAACTGACTAAAAAATGCTGAACTTAGAGACGTAAGTGTAGACAGTAGAAAGCGGAACCGTGAAGAGCATAGGCCTCGCCTGCTTCTAATTTGACAGGTTATAGTTTCAAGCACAAACCGCAAGTGCGGCAGTCCATATGAAACCACTTTGGGCTCACAAGACTGCGATCTCTGCTTTTCAAGTGCAGTGGAGTAATCAGTCCTGGCATCGCTCAGTGATTTCATTTTTCTCTAAGCATCACTTACTGTTGCAGAAACTTTGTTTGCTACCTTCTTCCCGAGAACGTATGAAAATGGTATAGACCTACCAACAAAGCTTATTATTGTTTTGCTTTCTTTCCCTTTTTTTTTCATTTAAATGTAATTGAGAAGAGAAAAAAAAATTTTAGAGGCATAAAAACTCATTTGGGATCCTAGCTTTTTCTCAAAACATCGAGCAAGAGTACCAAAAACCAAGTTGTTTCCTGTTGTGTTAGGTGACTTGATGTGTGCCTGGCTTTGTGTTTCACTCCTAATGCACCTCATCAGTATGAAATATTATATGACTTGAAATAAAAAGTCTGAATTTTTACTTCCATTTCTACTTGCTAGTCCTTCATCATGAGAGTTCGCTAACTCTTACCCTTATAGTTTCCCTCCAGCACCAAATTTTTAACACTTGGGTAGATGTATAGTAGAGACCTATGATCCATTATCTTAAGATCCTTCCAAATTATCAAATAAAAATTAAGTAATGTTCAGAATTGCTTTTGAGAGACTAGGAAAGAGAATCAGGGATTTGGTAAGCATAATAATGCATATAAATGTTGACCCTCCTCTCACCTCCACTTAACCCCCACCACAGAATAACAGGAGGTGTGTTTTACTGTTTCTTACATTCTGAGCAACTAAATATGGCTGTGTCAACCAAAGGCCAAGAGGGTATCACAAAACGCTGCAAAGAGCTTTGGGTATTCTTAACAGAGTGACTGTAGTCACTCACAGAAGAGCCTTGCCTAAGACCCAACTACTCTACCGTGAAGGCACCTGGCAAGCTCAAGTTTAGCGTCAGTCGAGTGAAATATCTGGTCTAATAAACTACTGCGTTTGTGAAGGGGATGTAAATAATGAGTACTTAACGAATTTGGTGAACTCTACCTTCTGACTAATCCTTAAATTGGTAAAAGTAAACAAGAAAGTAAAGATTCGGCCATCAGAGAGAACAACCTTTAAATAAATTAGGGTCCTGAAGCCCCAGAGGCCTGATACTGGAACCCAGAAAGAAAACACAATGGGATACATAAAATTGAAGGTCCTTAAAAATGTTTTTAATTGGCTTAAGATTGAATAACATTCCAGGTGGCCATCTGAATTTAACCTAAAGTGTCTGACCAGAGATTGTAAAACACAAAGTTTCTCATAAAATCTGAATGATCAGAGAAGTCAGGTTCACCATTCAGTTACGCCCCGAGTAATGTGAAGTTATGATCTCTGGGGAGGCTGAGTCCCAGAATTACCATTTGTCGAACTGAGTATACTGGAAAACTCACCGAAGAAGCCAGAGAGGTGGATTGCTGTAGATGTTCTCCATCTTCTGGTTTTGAAATCTGTTCTATTTCCCTTTTCTATTTTTCTACTATTATTATTTTTTAATTATAATGGAAAGTAAAGTACAATGCCTTTAAGATAAGACAGTTCAAAAATACCTTAGTTAAGATTTATCATAAAAGAAGAAAGGCTAATAACTCTAGTGAGATGATGGTGTACAAATACGAAAAAAAGTTTTTAAGTTGAGTTTAAAAACGAAACCCAGAAAAAAGTTGAAATGTATGTGAGATTAAGAAATATAGAATTTATATGCTGGAAAGATAGTCTATACACATACATACATGATATATACAGATACGCATCTACATTTACATACATACTATTATGCCTGTGTGTATTCTGTAAGAATAGGTATGTAATTTTAGTAGATTTTTTTAATGTAAAAGTAAAAGAACAATCAGAGGTGTATCAGACAAATGCAAATGCTAGTGGTAGCAATATTAGTTCAGAGAAAAGAGGATTCAAGGGAAAAAGTTTTCAAATGGAGCGATGTCAGTAATTTTATGTTACCAAATGATGCTGCCTGTGGTGAAGATAGTAAATACAAAATGTTAATCATCAAATTCCAGAGAATTGAAATATACAAAGCAAAAGATTCCAGTAATGTGGGGAGAAGTTAGAGAAAATGCATTTGTTGAGTCTGGAACACACTATTCTCAGTACTTAACAGATTGACTTGGGGGAAATTTTTTAATCATAAACATTTAAGTTTAATAGATGGATATAAAACATTTTATAAATGAGCAGCAGTTTTAAAATCTTACCCAGGTAACCCCAAGGATTCCATGGTGCTCTTTAGGGGAGGTGAGGAGAAGTTTGGTGGGGCTCTATCCTCCCACCTCCCCCTACACACTTTCCTCCATCAGGAGAACTTTGAGGTTACATCATGGATCTATATATCACTGGTAAAGAAGGGGCTTCGTTATTTTTTAATTGAAAGTCAATACAAATGATCACTATTCAACTTCTCATGAGGAGTGTTTCTCTCATACCCAGATAGATATACATACACTCAGTTAACAGATTTCAACAATATACAAATTTATAGAGCACATTACCTTACCAGAGCAGAAAAAGTAAACCTGAGAGTAATAACAGAAGTTAAACAAACAATTAACAATTAGTGAAAACAATTAAACAATTAGTTAATCTAATTGATTAAAAATTTGAAAAGAAAGAAAGCTAATAGAAGCAACTAATGGACCCACAACAAATTAAAATGTATTACCATCGACTGTTTGGATAATGACAGCAATGAGAACAGTCCCTGTAAAATTTACAAAATTTGGACAACACTTTAAAATAGAGGCAACTTTTTACATTGTAAGCCTTTATTAAATTGGAAAAAAGCAAAAGAAACTAAAGATTCACCTAAAATTAGAAATTTTATGTCAAAAAGAGAAAACAGGAAAAATGAAAATAAAAAATAAATGCATAAAGTTAGAAAACAGTAATTAAGGGGTGTCTGGGTGGCTCAGTCGGTTAAGTGTCCAACTCCGGCTCAGGTCATGATCTCATGGGTTGTGAGTTTGCGACCTACCTCGGGCTCTCTGCTGACAGCTAAGAGCCTGGAGCCTGCTTCAGATTCTGTGTCTCCTCTCTGCCCTTCCCCTGCTCATTCTCATTCTCTCTCTCTCTCTCTCTCTCTCTCTCTCTCTCTCTCTCTCTCCCCCCCTCTCTCTTCTTTCTCTTCTTTCTCTTCTCTCTCTCTCTCTCTCTCTCTCTCAAAAATAAACATTAAAAAAATTAAATAAAAAAGAAAACATATAATTGAATATACCATTTTAAGGAACTCTTTGCA